GTTCTCCAGCACTTTTCAAACTCCTATCATTGTTACTAAAAGAATGAGTAAGAACCCAACAGATCAACTTCTGCTGAGGGGTATGCAATTTATCTACAGAAAATTTCTCAAACTATATGAAGAACCACTGGGATAAGTGGGAAAGGAATCTAATAATTACTGAATGTGTACTCTATGCTAAGCAGAGTACTAGGTGTCATTTAATTTAATCCTTAGGACAACACTGTCACCTATTATCGCCAAGAAAGAAGCTGAGACTTAGAGAAGCTAAGAAATTTGCCCCCTGACTCATGTTAAAAAGTCTGAGATGAAATGCAAATGAATTCTGACTCCAAAGCCTATGCTATTCCACCAGAGCAAGGGATCACCTCCCAGTCAAGTGTTAACGTCTGGGTGTTCCCCCACTCACTCAGTAAGGCATCATCTTCCTAGCTCTGTTACATTTCCACAAAAGAGTGACTTTTTACTGAAACAATTTAACATTCTGCAAACTAAGAATCTGACAAAATCCCAAAAGTTTATTAAGTTCAGGGATATTAATGTACATGTGTTTAAAATCCTAAGAGTAAAAGGAAGTACACCAATTGCCAACAATAAGTTTTTAAAAAGAAAAATCACTTCCTCCTTCATTTATTGGAATTGTTTGGAAGCAGAAGTCAGGAAATCCTCGTCCTTGATTTGTGACATTTATGTAATTGTTATTCCCAAAGAACAAAATTTATTCTGCTTTATCTTTTGAAATTTTCAATATTGTTTCATTCGTCACTAATAGAACATAGTTTTGGTTATTTAAAGATTTTCACATAACAAGAGTTTATTTTATTCCCTTTTCTATATTCTTAGAAAATGAAGCTATAAGCAAAGTAGGCCTAATTACTTTTTTATAATAAAAAAAAAGTATACTCCCTACAAAAATAACTTCACTATTCTAGGAATTACTTATGGGAAAATATCTTTAATACACATATATTGTCAGTTAAATGAATTAACTATATATTTCAAGTAGTTAAAACTGATGAATTTTAAATAGATGTTTGGGAAGAATGCAAGTTGTTCACATGTATAGAATTAATAATATCCAAGAATAACTACAGAATACTTTTCACTTAAGTAAATTATTTTAATTATTAAAAGACTGTCATAGTTACGTAAATGGAATAGAACAGAATGTCCAAAAATAGACCAACACAAATATATCCCTTTAATTTTCAACAAAGAAGCCAAAGTAACTCAATGGGGGAAAGGCAGTCTCTTCAACAAATGGTGCTGAACAACTAAATATCCATATGGAAATGCTGGACATTTACCTCACACCATATACCAAAAAATTAACTTGAAATGTATCACAGACCTAGAAGTAAGAGCTAAAACAATAAAATTTCTGAAACTATAAAACATAGGCAAAAATCTTTGTGACCTTGGGTTAGACACAGATTTCTCAGGTAGAATTAAAAAAAGCACAAGCCATATAAGAAAAAATTGATAAACCACTTCTTCAAAACTTAAAACTATAAAACAATAAAAAGAATGAGAAAATGCATATATAATAAAGGATATGCCTGACATACAACAGTGGCAATTCATAAACTACAGGCCACCCATCTCAACCCTCATACTTGACCAGTTTTAAAAGTTCTTTAGCTATAGTTTCGAACTCAATTTTATTTTTACTGGATTGGTGATAAACAGAATTTTATCCAGAATATTTTTAAACGATTTACTTCAGATACCGTATTATAATCAACGACTTAAACGGTGCCAAATGGACTTCAGGAAAATTTTCTAAAATTTGTAGCTACTGCAGACTTCCTTCCCACTATTGTAGGAACACCATTAGAACAAAAATGCAATTAAGTTTGCTTTCCAATATTAATTATCAAAGCCACAGTCATTTAAAGTAGACAATAATGTATTAGATATACACCGTTATAGCTGACACTAGTTCTTTTAAAGTGAGAAATATTAACTGATCCAACTGTGTACTAGAGGTAAATCGCTAGGTGCTTTTCTTTAAAAGTGGAGATGACTAATCAATCATAGCACATATCTAGCATTTTCTTCTATATTCTTAAATATCTTCATATAATTTATTTTGCAATATGTTCTGCTGTTTTTGTTGCATTGTATCAAGTATGTAAACAACTGCCTTTTTCCTTTAAATCTATTTCCCTCCTATGAGATAAAGGCTTATTATGTTTTACTAAACCATAAAGAGTATTAAAAACTTCTATGATAGTATCGATATCTTTTTTTAATTTATACACTAAATTGGAAATTGAGTCAGTAGTTGATTCTTCTAACAAATCTTGAATTTTAGTACAGCCTTTAAAAAATATTCCCTAAGTTTTTGGTGTGTGTGCGCCGAAGTTTGCTTAGTAGTTTTATTAGTACCATTTAGGGTTGCCAAATATGTGCTCCATTTCTTGAAACCATGGACATGCTTTTATGCTGTCACTCCTAAATGCTGAACTATAAAACAATCCTTACATTCTAATTTACATTCTTTTATTTCAAGCCTTTGTACTGTTCTGAAAACAATAACACTTGTTTTTCATTCCAATAACCTAGAAGCACAAGATTATCTATTTCTTCCTCTAATGGGCATGATGATTTTTCTTCAATGATTGGTCAATGATTCTGAAATTTATTTCCATTAGCTTAGGTATCCCTCAATTTTCACTACCATTATTTTCTATGTTTATTTTAAACTTCAGATTTAAAAAACTTAAGTCACTCTGTTACTCTGGCTTTTTAGGGATGAGAATCTGAAAAACAATTTTGTTATGTTAGTAAAATTCACAATACTACTTGGGGGTTAACATAAAATTTTTGTTAATGGTTATATGATTTTAGAAATAGCATAAATTTTAAACTAAAATATGTCTTGCTTTTTGATCTGTACCTATACCTTCAATGTGACTTGCTATTTCTTGAAACTCAAATATTAGTTTTGATTCTTTTTTGAATAATATTTCTCAGACTATGAATGCTTTATTATGATTTGATTCAGCAAAAAAAAAGATGCGCACATTGACCACAAAAGAGTGGTTCCGACGTGGATGTTGGCTGATATTTTTACTTAAGTTAACCAGTAAGAAAAAAGTGAAACAGTAAAGAGATATGTTGAAACTTCATTCATTTATCATGACACGACTGACTTCTTTGCTGACTTGGATAATAGTTTTCGAATACTAGAAGAATACTTCAATTTTTTTGTGCTACTCATAATGTCAAGGCCTCAGATGTGACACACCTTTAGGTTTAATTCTGATTGTCAATGTTTCCTCAATAAGCCTACTGTCTGTTTTCGTAAATAAAACTTCACTGGAACATGGCCATGCCCATTTTTTTAAATAAGAGTTGAGTTGTTGTGACAAAGACTAAATATTATTATACTGGAAAGCTTAAAATATTTACTATTTGGCTGTTTACAGAAAAAGTTGCAGATACTTGGTCTAGAAAACCAATAAACATATGATTTGTAGCATTTGCCAGTTCCCATGGTGTAAATACTCTTATTGCAGTCAATTTCATGCTACGAATGTGCCATCTCTGAATACAGTTGGGAAGAGATACGTAAATTATAGAATATTTCCATTATACAGATATACAACAGACAGCCTCACCTCAAGAGCAGTTATTCATAAAATGACAAAAAAAAAGTTTTGAGTATTTACTATTTTTTAAATATATTTAACCATAAATTTACACAATTTGATTTTTAATAGTGGTTATGCTTAACAACTGGCTCATAAAACCCCTGAAAATTCAGCGATCAGCCTTGCAAATTGGTAAAAGTCAACTGTACTACCACCTCTATTTTCAAAAGGGCAATAAAGGAGGCTTTGGGACAGCAAATAATTTGCCTAGTTGGTTATGTGGCTGAGTCAAAATTCAAATAGAGGTCCAAACTCTGACCCAGGTTAGGTTTCTTAGTGAATAAAGGCCTTTATTGGTTTGATTAAAAAAAAAAAAATTCCGGCGGGGGTGGGGATTAATTGAGAAAACTCCACATGCAAGGGAGTAGCATCCCGTATTGATACTGCATACTCTTTTACATCCCTATGCTACCTGCCGGTTTTGCTAGAGTCTTGATGCTTGATACCTATCCAGGAATCAGTCTAGCCTGGATATTTGAAGAAGGGAACACTGAGTGGTCTATCCATCTGCTGTCGGAAATTTCTTTAAAATTTTCCTTAACTGCTTTAGGAATTGGAAATACAGGCGTTTACCACCACGAGCCTCTATAGTACTACATGAATTCTGAAAAGCTTCAGAAAACTTGTCTGAAACTTTACTACACTTGGTGTGCAAGAAAAGGAAAGGACACCGCCAAAGGGTATTCATGCGGCTGCAGGGAACCAGGGCAAGAATTTAGGGGCAGGATGACCAAGTGCTAGGCCTCTTAAAGTTCTCTAAACCTTTCGCACAGCTTCTAAGTGTAGGAATAATAACGCTTAGAGCTGCTGGAAAACTTGGATATCCGACCGCGTCCAACTCCTTCATTTATATGAGGAAACTCAGCTCTACTGAGGTGAAGCGACTTGATGAATGTCAAGCACTGGAGCCAGAATTAATTTACAGCTCGTTTCACTACATATAACACGGCCTCCTCTGAAACACCCTCCCTGCACAGAACTTACCCCGAAAGCACCAGGAACCTGGTAGGGGACTGGCCTAAGGTTGAGCTCAGGACAAACCTCCCAGTCGCTCCTGAGTCAAACTGCAGTAAGTCTGAGTCAGAGGGTTAAGGCTAAAGTCAAGAAGCACAAAGCCCAAGGCCGTTAAGAAGTGCGGATTCCTCAGTGAGCAACGGAGAGTTAGAGGCGGCCCTGGAAAAGCAGCCACGCCTCGCACACCGCCAAACCCACACGCGCGGAGCTACGCGAGAAGCCCCTTGGCCAGGGCACGCAGCCGGCAACGCGCACGTTCGCCCCAAGGCCGCACGGGAGGCGGGCTGGCGTGCGCGCCCCTGCGGCGGTAGGCGGGGTTAGGGGCGGGGCCCTGAGCCGGACTGGGGCGGAGCCGCAGGAGCTCTAGGTGTTGCAGCTAGGTCACGACAGGTGCGCGAGGCAGAACGCCTGGGACCCGTGGCAGGGCAGGTAGCATCGCAGAGAAAAGACGGCACTTAACCAGGTAAGGGCCTTCTCGCTCCACATCCTCCACAGCCAAAGAGTGCGCGGAGACCCCGGCTTCCCTCCACACCCTCTTTCTCCAGCGACTTCTGGGGCGGGGGCAGCACAAGGAGCGTGAATTCCTTACCCTTGAAAGAGAGAGTGGAGGAACCGCTGATCCTTTGCTCTTTCCTCACTTATGGGTACTGCTCTGGAGTTGGAAGTAACGTAGGGCTGAAGCCTTTGCTGCCTGAGGGCGGGACCTGATAGGAACTCCCTCCTCTTCCATCGGGAACACTCCTTTCTAACTACATACTTTTTTGGTGTGGTGGAGGAAGGTGGCAGTTCATCAAAATTCAAAATAATCTACCAGGGAAATAAGTATTATGCTATTCAACAGCTCTTTTCCTTTCTTCATTGTCAGCCACTTGCACCCTCTTCTATTTTTCTCTCCTTCCATTCTTCCAATTGAACTCCGTTTAAGAGACTTGTATCCTTTTGAGGTATGTTGAGTATGTAGCAATCCTTGCAGCTGGATGCGTCATCCCCGAATCGCTATCGTGTATATATCGCTGGCACCTGTCACCAACATACGTAGGTGTCAATATAAGGTAACCGTACACTCTGACTACACCTACTGAACTTGAAGTTGTAAGTGCTAGGAGCGAACCATCTGGTGTCCGTCCTTGCCTCTTTATTGGTGCTTACAACCACAGAGTTTAGTGATCCTGGTGAGAGATATTCAAACTACTGTTGTCTTTCACCTATTTCCAGCTTTCAAAAGCCTGTCCATTTCAGATGGTTTTATAAACTTGATTTTTTAAGTTAGTCAAGGTACTTAAGGAATTATCAGCCTTTAGGACAATGCCCCTTTAGAGGCGAGGTCTTCTTTTGCATGAGGTATTCTTTACTTTGCTCTTGATTTATGTGGTTAAATGGAATAGTTTTTTATCTGCATAGTTACTAACACTATTCAAAAATGATAAATATTTTAGGAACTAGGAAATAGCACTTTCTTCTGAAGTCTAATGTAGACACAATAGAAGATGACCCTCAACAAACATTTCTGTTCCTGTGGAGTTATAGTCTAGATGAAGGATGATCATGTCTTAGGTAGCCCTTCAGGGAGTTCTAAAGTTATCAGGAGAGAAGGTTTAATTTAAAAAAAAAAAAAAAAAGTGTGCATGCGTATATATTTCCTTGTTTTGTACATAGCATAGTAGGTAATTAGAAACTTATTTCAATTTTTAGACAACATATTGAGTGCCTCTTGTTTTGTCAGTTCTACTGCAGATTCAAAGTTCCAACCGTCCTTGCTCTAAAGGAGTTTATAATCAAATGGGTTAGGCAGATCAATAGGTACAACTTATAGTATTAGTGAGGTCAGTGCTATACTACAGAGCAGCCCAGAGTGCTGCAGGAGCACAGAGAATAGAAAACTCTTCTAGTTTTCCTTAAAGTAAACAATAATAGCAAAAACCTCTGAATAATAGTGTTCTCTTCAGTTCATGTATTTCTTACTTTGTGTTCTGTCAACATTATGGCCTTTCGAAGATGGAGTTAGGTCCTATTGTTAATTCTGTGGCAGTTCAGTAACTAGTTGGTGGAGCTATTTTCACTGTTCTGTACTGGACCTGGAAGTGTTGTTGCCAGGTAGTCGCTGAACTATGGAGCTACTGGGAAGAGAATAATGTACTGGCAACATTAGCAAAGGAGTGCCATTTTGTAAAAATTGCTCCATTGTACAACTTTCTTTAACTTGTTACATTCAAATTTTGTCCTAGACTCTGGGTAAAGGTGGGCCAAATTTCAACCTTCTAATAATTCTGAGAAGAGAAAACTGCAGAAGTGAAAACAATTCTATTGACAGCACATCTTTGTAACAGGATACTGTTTCTTGCTAAGGTGCCCTCAAAATGTCTTTTTCTTTTGTCTTTGGAGACAGAGACAGTTTGGGTTGA